CCGTACGCAAAACCTGTGATAACGATACCAGTCGGTCAATGCTCGCGATCGAGAAGAAGGGCACAAACCGAAATACACCGCGAGACCAAACATTTCTCCCGGTGTTGTCAGTCCACCAAAACGTGCAGTTCCCTTGAAGACGGGCAGGAATCCCAAGCACCCGTATGCCGGAATCAGCGAGACCATCAACACGAGAAGGACTAGGACGTGAAGATTCGACCACATGAATTTACGTTGGAGGATGGGGGATACTAGAGAGCCAATGATTCCTGAGAGTGGAGTGATAGCGCCAATGAGGACGAGAGACGAAGCTTGCATGTGCAGAGTCGTTTTTCCAAACAGGATCGCGGTCGATGTTATAGTAGTGAAACCTGTTGAGAAGTCAAATTAAGAGTAATTGATTGGTGGAATAACAGACAGACCATCGGAGAGAAGGAACCAAGCAGCGAGGTATCTAAAGGTATTTCGAAGACGCTTTATTTCCCGCCAGCGAAGCATAACTCCCAATCGTTTCCATGCAACCGCAATCTCCGAACTGAAGGTCCAATCGTCATCTGCCTTGATAGAACCGGATTCTGGTTCATCGATGTTGCTTGCGTTTGGAAGCCAGACAGCAGCAGGTATCGAGAACAATGCCCACCATATGCCGCTGAGACCAATGGCGAGACGTAGTGAGAAAGTAGAACCTTGCAGGCGAGTGACAGGTATGAGTGCAACCAAGAGAAGGATGATTCCTGCACCATAACCTGAAGCAATTCCTAAGGATGATATTCGCGAGGTGGCTCTCGATAATGCGGCAGTGTAAGTTAATTGAGCAGTGTCCGGATGGACTGGATGACCAAGAAGAGGATCTGACACTTCTTCCAAGGAGCGCTCTAATTCAAGATCAATGCTTGCATTAAGAGCGGAATTCTCATCCCGGTTTTCGAATGAGCTCGTCACTTCGGAGTAAGCTTGAACTACTTCTGGGGAATCTTTCGCCAGTGACGGCAGATACGCGTTCATAGCGACTACGGAGGCACCAAAGCCAACATTAGCCAAAATCGCAAACAGCGCAGAGACCATCCACAACGGAGATGTCGACGATAGAAGGAGAAAAAGGCTCGCGGAGAATGCACCTATTGCAGCGAAAGTGAGGAGAAGGGGCTTTCTGTATGACGCTGCCACCAGTAATGAAGACTAGTTCGAGAACGAAACCATGGAACATACAACGATCGGCTATGCTCCCCATTGAGATCACCGTGAGTGCTTGCAAAGCGACAGACATCGAATAGACATAGAGACTGAGTATGTTACAACATCTGCACCAACGCTAGCCAGAATAGATTGGACGCACCTGAAACTGGCGGTATCTATCCACAACCAACCAATTTTCACTGCGCATCTGCCGTCCACGTTTGCAGGCACGGAACCCGAAAGTGAAGAGCATGATTCAGTCTTCTCTGGTTGCAAGAACCCATTGTCACGGGCAAATTGCTCCAGACATATTGGTAGGAAGAGTGTGAGGGAAACCACCACAAAAGCCTCACTTGCTATGACTTGAGAAACTTGTTGGGGAGAAGAGTACGAGTACTACACACCTAGCAAACGCATAACTGAGCCATCCTCTCAGCCTTTGCTTGTACGTGGCCGACATATTACTGTAACAGTCATGTTGCGTCAGTCAAGGTGCAGACCACCACACGTGATTGCCATTTGTGTCGATGCCCCTGATCAAATTTCAGAATTCAATCCTCGAGGCCTCATGTACCGTCTCTCATGTATTCATTCGGGTTGTCAGTTAGGGTCGGAATATTACACAGAGGTTCCTCGCCTTGGGAAAAGCTACGGGACTTGTGACAAATAATTATACGATATAAGCCGGTATGAACATAATCGCTCCAAGTAGATCTCACGTCAACTGAAGGTGCTTGATCATTCTGTGGTCCCAACTTCCTACCTGGAAGCGCTGGATCGCAGAGCTGAGTGTCTTTCCCGTGGCGTCGTTGTGCGTAACCAACACATTCACAAAGGTGGCCTACCAGTGAGATGCTGGCGACTTGCCAGCGTACCCCTAACCTTGACAAGATGCCGCCCCCAGTGGCTGGCATATGATCCCTTGAGCTTGTCGTTGAAGAGCCTGACAAGAGTTAAAGAATGTAGAAGTCAGGCACCCGAGTAGAGAGGATGTTCACCCCTGCATATGGTGGAGCAGAGATCTCCTCAAGCAAGGAGCGGTAGCTTTCGAGTCGAGGCCCCATCATTTTGGTGACAAGTAAATTGGAACGGATTGAATGGTGAGATGTGATACAGTAGAGAGAATACATCCGATTGCATGACCTACGGAAGCATGTAGATGTACAACAGCTAACATATAATTGTGCCACCCCCCAGCTAGAGAGCACTGCGGTATTAGGATCGAGAGAACAATAGAATCATACGACATACCTGCTCTAAGTGAGCGTCAATGAGATCACCATCTTCCATTTCCATCTGATGAGGCGTCAGCATACGAGCGTCGATCGTTCTCTGAGCATCAGTAGAGCACTCACATCCATAGGCGTGTTTTCAGCTCGCAATCTTCTGCCATCGTAAATGAATTTAAACGTCCCTGAAGGGTCGAACATGAGTACAGAACTTCTTTGCCTTTCTGAAAGCAGTTGCCACTCACCTGGTTCTTTTCCAAACCGTTTCTGGTGCACGTCATGCCGATTGATGAGAATGCAAGATTTTGATGCAACGACCATGTTCTCACCTCTGCTGCATCGAATATCTTCTTAAATGACATGTTGTGCTTCACCTTCACAGTGATTTCTGGCCACGGGTTGTCAATACCTGTTGAACGCGTCGGAATAGCAGTAAAGAAGACTGACGGGTACCCTCATAGTTAATGACCAAGCTCAATTTCGGTTTGACATCCTCGGTATCTTCGGACATATCTGTACACACAGTCGGCTGAAGGCAGTGGTACAAGGAATTAATGGTGTTCTGGTATAAAACGAAACTAGCTTGGTGGCCTCGGCAGTTAACGCGTACAAACGCGTGCATTTCAGAAGCCACTCGTTTTCCCACCCTCACGTGGGACGGCAATCGCTCATTATTCAAGTTTCCAATTTTGAATCAAGCTTTTGACCCAGAGAAGATGTATGCGCCGTCCTTGGACTAACACAATGACATCAACCCGTTGTGACGTCCCTTTATCTCGATATGTACGAAATACGAGTTGTGAGAAACAAAGGGGCATTTTTTCAAGATAGATTGCAGGTATACATCATTACGACAGGGCCGTCTACGGCGAACAGAACGATGTCCCGACAATTGGACAATAAAAAAACTACAGTAGAAAATGATCTTGCCGACTATAAAGCACTCCTAGACGATGCAAATATTTACGAGAACTTCCATCTACAAGTGATAAATGAGATACGAGTTTCCTTGACAATAGTTTACTTACTTGTTGCCACAGTTGACGCATCTGAAGATGAGACGAAAGGTGAGTATGTCTTGTACAACAAGTAAAGGTCACGTACGTCACGAAAGTCTAGAAAGACACAGACGTAAACTTTAGTCTGATTTCCATTGAATATTTACTCACTGTCATTGGCTCGTCGGCGCTTCTGGTCTGCGCCTGGCGATAGCGACACTTACGCTACGAACGATGAGCACCAAGCCACCAAATTCAATGAAAACGTCTTACTTGCTTGCATCTTCCGCACTGGAAGCCTTCCGTTTCGGCTTCTTGTTCGCCAGCTCCCAAGGACTTGAAAAAGTTCGCCTCCTTTATTTTTTGGTCTGCCGCCCGTCGTTCCTCCGACGACATTTCCTGGAACAAATCAGCTTTAAAAATATATCTCATGATCCCTGACGTACCTCGCTTGTCATTTTGCTGAACCTCTCCGCCGAAAGATCACCGCTGACAATGTTCTCTCGTAGACTTGGATTGCCCTTGTCCTTGAGGTTGACGTACGAAGAACGGATTTTGCCCTTGTATGCAGCGCTAGCACTGCCAAACTGTGCAAAAATAGCGGCCTCTACAGCTTTTGCTCGACTCATGATTAGATCACTGGCTGTTTTCAGGGTAATGAGAGTCAGATAGTGAAGTCGAAGTCTGGGATCGACTCACGAGCGCCAGAGTCACAAGCAAGGCCATCATAAATGAGTTCCATGCACTTATCCCGCGTGCTGTCCCCCGTGCCGGACGCCTTTGCACCATCTCCTTTCGCAGTACGAGGTTCTAACTTCCCGTTCACTGGGGCTGGAGTAGCGGCGTTAGAGGGTGTGACCGAAGCAGATCCCTTGCGAGCTTTGTGAGAGAGTTGATAGCCATAGTCATTATAAGGATCTAGCAGCATATGTGGATCGGACTCACTTGGTGCTGCCTTGCCGTTCGCAGGTGTCCCCGCCTTTGAGCCTGAACCTCCTTTAGCGCGTTCAACCTCGTTTTTCCACTTCTTCACGATCTCTCTGGCGAGTTCGGAGACCTCTTTTGCCTCGTGGGTCCGCAATTTTCCGACAGCAAGCCCTGCTTTGCTTTCCTATGAATTCACACCAGTGAGTCAAAATACAAGGCAAAATCCGAGCACGGATACCTACCCTTAAGATCGCTTCATTTACTTGGAAGTCTTTCTTCAAGATTTGCAGAATCGATACCTTTTCCTACACGAGGGTCGTCAGCAAACCAAACTAAAAGGATTGACCTAGAAAGATTTGTACACACCTCTGTGGAAGCATTTTGGAGCTGTTTCACGAGCTTCTTAAGCTCGGCTGCTGCTGTTTCAGACATGACTGACGAAATGGCGTCTAATGTCTACCACTATGTTACTTCAAGCGCTATTCAATCCTCTTTAAACCACCTAAACTATGACCACGAAATGGTCTTGAAGCATGAAAGCTCTTTGCTTCAGATAAGCAACCACGCCTTTGATTGCCTTTCTAGTAAATAAACAAACAATGATAATCAAACCTGTCACCCTGCCACTGCCATTGACAGTGACCGACTGCCGACAAATCCAGTATTATCAATGAGTACAACACATGCTCTTCCGCCGCTGGATCCTTTACTGAGGAGGAGTGCAAAGCGCACGAGAGACATATTTGCATCATGTCCAAATGACGGGATGAAGGAAGATGAGAAGAGGTGCGTAACGAGTTCTGGGACACCGAGCACATTTGCTGAAGAGATTTTTAGCGCGCGAATACGTCTGTCGGTGAAAATTAACGATGAATACCGTGATTTCAAAGAGCTCCCTCCTGCATTACTTGCCCAACAAGGCCCTATTGGACCTGCTCGACCAAAGGAGCAGACAAAGTCTATGGCACTCATTGCCGCAATAGACAACACACCTACAGTGCAACCATCCACGTTCGCTACGTCTAATAAGCTCTCCGAGGCTTTGACCCTACACAAAACAACTCGCACTATCAAGCCAACATACCATGCTCCATGGAAGCTATCTCGTGTCATATCCGGTCATCTGGGTTGGGTTCGTAGTGTGGCGGTCGAGCCAGGGAATAAATGGTTTGCTACTGGTGCCGGAGATAGAGTTATAAAAATTTGGGACTTGGCTTCAGGGGAGTTGAAGCTTTCCCTGACCGGTCATATTTCCACTGTCCGAGGGCTGGCCGTTTCACCGAGACACCCGTACTTGTTTTCGTGTGGTGAGGACAAAGTGAGTCATTCTAGCACCTGCCAACCTCGTCTCGTTGATCATTGCTCCCTTTAGATGGTCAAGTGCTGGGATCTCGAAGCCAACAAAGTTATCCGACATTATCATGGTCATCTTTCAGGCGTTTACTCGTTGAGTTTACACCCGACGTTGGATGTTTTGGTCACATCCGGTCGCGATGCCTCAGCTCGTGTCTGGGATATGCGCACAAAGGCTCAGATCCATGTTCTCGCTGGGCATTCCGCAACAGTCGCTGACGTCAAGTGCCAAGAATCTGATCCTCAAGTCATCACTGGAAGTATGGACTCGACGGTTAGGTACGTTGAATTTCCTCGCGATTTAACACACTGACTGATACTACCCTGGTTAAGACTGTGGGACCTGGCAGCTGGAAAGACGATGGTCACCCTCACTCATCACAAAAAATCTGTAAGGGCCCTGGCAATTCATCCAACAGAATATTCCTTTGCATCAGGTTCTGCAGGCGGTAATAACATAAAAAAATGGAAATGTCCAGAAGGTGCATTTGTACACAACTTCCCCGGTCATAACGCTATCATAAATACGCTTTCTGTCAACGCAGAAGGCGTATTTTTCTCTGGTGGTAGGTTACCATTTCCCATCGGCTTTCCTCAAATTTGAATTAATCGCTGTTGTAATGCTCAGGTGACAATGGCACACTCACGTTCTGGGATTACAATACGGGGACTCCATTCCAAAATCTTGATGACGTACCTCAACCCGGCTCCCTCGAGGCGGAAGCCGGCGTCTTTTGTTCGACCTTCGATATGACCGGAACACGGCTCATCACTGGTGGGGCTGACAAGACTATCAAGGTTGGTTGGGTAACTAAAAACGTACATAATTTTACTCATTGATCTTTCGCAGGTTTATGCCGAGCAGTCGCAATGATTGCTGCGCATTTCGCTACAGAGTCTTGTTGTAGTATTGTATTGTACTTATTATTACGTGTGGGCAGTGGAAAACATGGCACTACACGCAGATGAGGTCCGAAGTCCGTCTAAAATTGACAAGAATCGGGCCAATACGTGAAGACATGGGATAAATGGATCAGGGGCAAATGATTTTCTTGCTGAGTTTTTGAAAAAAAATGGCACTTTTTGAGATCACCTTGCTTGCAAGGTCATATGCCATCTGACAAAATCTGACGGACTAACTGCCAATAATATACAATAATAAATATCAATAAATGTTCAATGTGGCTGTATGTCATGACATTACCGATCCAATGTCCAGTTTTTGAACCATGTCGCAACAGCTCAATTCCGCCCTGGATAAATTAACAATGAAGGAGATTATAGCTGCAGTAGGTGACAATAACTTGAAAAGAGCTGAAAAACGCAAGCGCAGTGACTTAGTGGCTACTGTGCAAAGTTCGACAGACACCCATATTCCAGTCATATCAGCAGCGAGCAACAAAGCAGCGCAATCTCACGATGCGCATTTATCTTTGCATGCGCCGTTCGAGAATGCGCTAAACCAGCTCACTGTCAATGAAATCATCACCGCTGTTCATGAATTCAAACTTTCATGTGCGGAGAAACGAAACTGAAACAGTCTATTGTCATCAGTTCGGCACTCGGTACTTCTTCAATCCACAGTGGTGTCAGCTGCAGATGCAAAAGCTGCACACTTACAAGATTATGAAGAACAGCAGTTGAAAAAGGTGTGGCTGCAACAAGAACGGCAAATATCTGCCAAATCATCATTCCTGGAGGAGGTGGGAGACTCTGTGTGAAATGAATGTCTCTCGCGGTTCATTGACCGTACCGGAAATGCAGCCTGTCGGGCTACTATATGTGTTATTTGCGCAGGCAAGTTCTTAGCATCTGAGACAACTGAACTTGCATTGTCATCGATCCAGCACAAAGACATTCTGATGCCATATATTTCGCATCACAGTCAACGACTCGTGAATGGCATGTTGCTATACAATCCTGCCATCACGATTCGAGACGATTGTCCTTATGGTTTTCTTTGCAATAATTGCTGGGACGACATCAAATCTAACAAAACTCCTCCATTTTCCCTCGCCAATAATCTTTGGATTGGAGAAGTTCCGGATGAACTTGGGATGTTGACTCTGCCGGAGCATATTTTAGTGGCCTTATCATATCCTGCAGCATACATCGTCGAGCTTTTCCCAAAAAAACGCGGTGCTGTTCATTGGGATGCAGCAGGTTTAAACAGCGGCTTGCATGGAAATGTATCTACATACCGACTCAACACATCGTCCATTGCAGCCATGATTGAAGGCAAATTGCTGCCGCCTAAACCGTCTATCTTGGCGACAACTATTGGCATTTCCATTGTTGGACCCAATGATTTTCCGGAACGTTGCTTACCGCCTTTCTTGTCTGTGAGCCGCTCTCATCTGCACAATGCGCTGCTTTTTCTTAAGCGAGAGAATCCGCTGTATTCCGACATTGCGATCTCGGAAGATGACATTGCGCTATATCCTACACACGGCATTCCGGATGTCATCATGTCCTCAATTCGACACCTCCAAGATACTGCTGCTGTGGATAGTGAATGAGAGGATTATGTACCTGAAGATGATGTTCAAGATGTATTCGCTGGTTCGTCTTTTCTTTTGGGATTCGACATGCTACTCTTAATGATAATGTTGCGTCGATAGAACATGACAAAGCTTTTCCAAGTGGACAGCATATCGACGAAGAATCGCTCATGGATGAAAATGGTTAGTTTCGAACTGTTTAACAAAACACTTCGCACAAGCTGACAAGCACAGTTCCATCCAACATATTTCCAGTCCAGTCGCACGGTGTGCTTGATAGCAATGTATCAGAAGTTGATGATGATCAGATTTTGGCTCATGCAATAGCCAATACATTGGAACATTATTCCGTCCAGCATGGCACAACTTTTGTCAACGAATATCCTCAATGAGACATGAACCATACATTGAGTATCGGTGATCCTGATAATCCTAATCATTTACTTGGCGCCTTCCCATATCTATTTCCCTATGCAGCCGGCGGAGCCCATTCAGTCACATAGTCTGTAAAATACAGGCAGCCGAGGTTGAAAATATGCCATTCCACACAGGCCAGCGGATGTCGGCCGATTGAATGTGTTTGCCCGAGTCTAACATTCGGCCGACTGACTAACTGATGGACCATTGGAACAGCTGGGCCTATACACGGTGTTGCTTAATATTAACATGTCGGCCGGTCGCCAAGAAACAAAGATGGTGGATTGTGACGCTCTCAACCCGGCCCATGTAGACAATAGTGACTGTGTGTACCGGTCAGCCGATGCGAATAATGGGTATGAAGGTATCATGCAGGCCGATGCAGAATATATCTCCTGTGCGTGTCAGTCAGCCCATCGAAAATATATTGCTCGTGCTGATCAGATGGCCCATGCGATGACAATGAATTCACGATGGTCTCCAGTCGGCCGATAGGAACAATTGTCTGGTATAATCAGGTGGGCCATTGGAACCTATCCTATCCGGTCGGTCGATGGAAACATATTCCCGATGCCATCAGGTCGGCCAATACACAGGAATGTCTCATACAATCATATGAGCCCATGACACTGACACCATCATGTGGGCCGGTGGAAAGACATTCCCGATGCCATCAGGGCCGCTGAAACTGATGCAATCAGGCCGGCCGATGAAAATAAACCCTCTATGCCATCAGGTGAGCCGATAAAAATGAATGCCTGAGAAAATCGTCCGGGACAATGAGGAGAATGCTCGGGTTCTATCAGGTGGGCCGGTGTGGAACGGGTCTCCTTTGCGCATCGGTCGACACATTTTAGCACCATCGCTCGGTCGCCAGCTTTGACGATTCAACATCGATTCAAATGAATCTGGAACATTTTGATGACTATGTACAAAGTTAAATGTAACTGTAATGTACCATCAGATGTAATCACGCATTTGTCTAGGCTGAAACTGAGAAATCCCAATCTACATTCATGTAACTCGCATACTGTGGCCGAGGTGTCCCCACAAAATTGTGAAGGCTATCACGCATGAACCACGTCCACACAATGCGATCACCGGTGAATGTGACCCCATGCCTCACGATCAGTCCAGAGCAAGCAACCATGGCGCCAGAGTTGTATCGCAACTGTATACCGAGGTTGGATAAGGTCATGAGCCCGTCGTAATATTCGCCGACACTGGTCATTACGTCGAACCCCTCTGGAGGAGATCGTGGATCTCTGTGAAGAGGGCATTGCCGGTTACAAATAACCGCTGCGCAGTTGAGCACCGAGGCCCAAAGTTGCAAACAAGTATATATCTCATCGTGGCCGTTGTCCATAGCCCATCGGGCAAGTTTGATCTGGGTTTTAACCGAAGCCCAATATAACTCTGGATGCATCACCCGCAGAGCCGCAGAGGCCAGGAGCGCCGAGCGCTGCATGGATGTTATAACTATATGAGCTCCTTCCCCCTTGAGCGTACCTGACACCTTGGGAGCGAACGCACCGGTGGGTGGAAAACCATATGGCTGGAACAGTTGGAGTGAGCAGACATTACAGTGGAAAAGCAGGCCTGACCTCTCGGCCTTGCTGGAACCAGCAAGGAGCCATGTTGATGCATCCAGGAGTCAGCGGGCGCCGGTCGCTCTTATGAAAATACCCAGCGTATGTTCGCCAATGGGTCTCTTCTCCACTGGTCATGCTTGTCTTGAGGAGATGACCCATGCCAATGGTGGCTTCTTCCATCTCGGCCTGTTGTGTCAGTGTGAATGTTGGCCGATAAGCAACAATACATCGGCATACTTGTATCCAGAGGCTAATAGCGTCTGGTAGGTACCATATGTTACAATAACATTTAGAGAGGCCCCTATACTCATTTTCCTTTTTGCTTCTTAAACGGGCCGTCCGTACCACGCTTATCTCTTATCATGCCTATCTCTTATCTTGACTCTTATCTCGCCAAGCGGGCTGTCCGCCTCTTTTTTGCTTCTATCTTGATAACACATTTACAAGCTCCGCTTGAACACTGGTATATAAACCTACCTACCTACAGTTGTATTCTCTACTTTAATCTACTGGGTTTTACCTGGAACATTGTCCTTCAGCAAGGTCTCCAACCTTGCTGCCTAAGAACCACTATTCTAAGGGAGTCAGCGACACTCGCCTTAGCCAGAATACTTGATCTCTCAATCGAGAGAAGACTCACGTCTATCTGGCATCTTGCCGATTGTCTATTCAGACAGAGATAGCTCGACTCATCCCAGTCGTAACAAAAGATTAAAGTCTTTATCACCTGAACCGTTGCCATCTGCAACGAAACCGACACCACGACTTCGTTAACTCCTTTGATCGGAGCCTTGAACTTAGGAGCTCTACCAACCATTCCTCCTTTGAACACCATGACGACCCAGAACAAAGAAATAGAACTAAAGATCGGTTCCCCTCCCGAATTTGATGGAGACAGAGAAGAATCAAAAAGGTTCATGATGAAATGTCATGCATACCTTGACATTAACGACAAAGTCTACGTGGATGATAAGAAGAAAATCATCCTTGTGTTATCCTACATGACGAAAGGAAACGCAGCAGCTTGGGCGGAAGACTTCATGGAAACAGCCCTAGACCCCAAGAGGAAAGACACCTCTGGACTAATGATCGGCTACGGAACCTGGGCCAAATTCAAAAAGGACTTCGACGAAGCCTTTAAACCCATGGACCCCGCCGGAACTGCCATGATGAAGATACGAGGATTAGAGATGAAAGGAGATCTCCACACCTATATCTCCAATTACAAACTCCTCGCACACCGAGCAGGAATGACCGAACAAGCCCCCCTCATCGAATTCTTTCGACAAGGCCTAGACTACGGGCTTCAGGACAACCTGCACCGGACAGGTGAAACTCTCGATAACTTCGACACCGTCGTCAACTCCTGCATTAATCTCGATAACGCCTTCCAAAGATGGAAAGCCATCAAGAAGAAAGAAAGACCCCAGCAACAGAAGAAGAAGAACTTCGGAAATAGACACTACGTTCCAAAAAGGGACGACGACATGGAAGTCGACCGCATAAGCCGTCTCTCAGACGCGGAATTAAAGAAGCACCTCAAAGAGGGACGATGCTTCAAATGTCACCAAGTAGGACACCGTGCCAACGACACCTCCTTCCACCCAAGAGAAAGAGGACAGATCCGAAGAAACAAAGAAGAAGAAAGTAGCAGCGACGACGAAGTCGAAAGTCGCGCTTCCTCCTCCAGGAACCCCATCAGAAGAAAGAAGGAGAGAAACGAAGAAGAAACTCCGAGAAGGAAAGCACCAGTCCGAAGGAAGACTATGAAAGAAAAAGCCAAAGAAGTCGAAGAAGAAGAAGACAGCAACTTCACCGAAGTAGAACACCGCTTCGTGGAGATGGATTTTTAGAAAGGGACACTGCCTCGACGTCAGTAACTCCCACTCATGTACGACTAATACGTTCTATCGGGACCAGAAATGAATTAAGAATTCCTGCATCCATTTTTTCCGATAAACGCGTACAAACCGTCGAAACATCCATGGTCATCGATTCCGGAGCATCCGGCACCTTTATCAGCGATACCTTCTGTAAAAGGCACAAAATAAGAACCCATAAACTCTCACGACCCTTCCCTGTTATCACCGCCGATGGATCGGATGCCCAAGGAGGACTTATCTCTCGTTATTGCGTACTCACGATCAAAATCAATCAACGAACTATGATCGGGAAATTCAATGTGGCAAAGCTAGCCAAACAGGACAAAATCCTCCTAGGATTCCCCTGGCTTGCTGCACTGAAACCCCAGATCGATTGGGAAGCCAAGACCGTATCACTCCCATCAACAAAGAAGTCGCTTGCCATAGAAAAAAACATCGACAGAAAGAGACGCAAGAAGTCACTCCCACCGCTTTTCAGAAAAGAGAAAGAAGTCGGAAAAGAAACAACCCGAATTTGGACAAATTCCAAACTACGGAAGCCGATACAGGTGAAGGTGGCAACTAAAGAAACCACCTCCCCCTATACCGCTTCTGTAGAAGAAATAGTTGATGAAGAAATACCCAACTATGACACAAAGGAAGACGTCTGGTCAGAAAACTTCAAAACTCCAGTCGTAGACCCACTAGCCTATCAATTGGCCAGTGACAAAGTACTCGTCGAGTACGCCACTGATGGATCCACCGTACGCATCATAGAAGATATAACCTTCGATACCCCACTTGTTCGAGACGGAACATCAAAAAGGGAACAAAACTACGGAAAAACAAGTAATAAAGCCCAAGAATTCGCGGTTGCAGGAGAAATAGAAAAACAAAAGAAAACTTTCGAAGAACTCGTCCCTCACTTCCTCCACCAGTATCAAGACGTCTTTGCCAAGGATGGTCTTAACAAACTCCCGCCGGAAAGACCCGGGGTAGATCATCGTATCGACCTCAAACCAGGATTCGTGCCCAAAACGTCGAAAGTCTATCCGTTATCGGGAAAAGAACGAGAAGCTGTCAAGACGTTTATCGAAGAAAACACCAGAAAAGGTTTTATTGTCCCCTCCAAGTCACCTCAAGCCAGCGGATTCTTTTTCGTAGGAAAGAAAAGCGGAGAACTGCGTCCCTGTCAAGATTATCGGTATCTCAACGATTGGACCATACGAAATCAATATCCCCTTCCCTTGCCAAAATCCCTCATTGAACAACTCTATGACGCCAAGTACTTCACAAAGATCGACATAAGATCTGGGTACAATAACGTGAGGATCCACCCAGAAGATCGATGGAAAGCGGTGTTTACCACTCAGGAAGGGCTGTTCGAGCCAACAGTCATGTTTTTTGGATTAACAAATTCCCCCGCGACCTTTCAGGCGTTCATGACCAACCTCTGCCAGAAACAGATAAACCAGGGATGGTTAGTCATATACATGGACGATCTTTTGATCTTCTCGAAGGATCTTCAGCAGCACCAAGCACGAACCATCGAAATCCTCGACATCCTTCGAAAAGAGAAACTATTCGTTAAACCGGAAAAATGTACCTTCGATGCACGAGAAGTAGAATATCTTGGAATGATGATCCGACCAGGAGAAGTAGGGATGGAACCCGCCAAAGTAGACGGAATTAAACATTGGCCAACCCCGGGAAACCTAAAAGACACACGGTCTTTCCTGGGATTCTGCAATTTCTACCGGACATTCATCGCTCACTACTCGGATATCGCTCGACCCCTTATCGACCTCACGAAGAAAGACCACCCTTTCGTTTGGACTGACAAATGCCAGAACGCTTTTGACCACCTTAAAAACGCCTTTTTATCGCAACCAGTACTAAGAAACCCGGACCCAACTCGTCAGTTCGCAATCGCTACCGATGCATCGTTAGCAGCAACCGGAGCAGTATTACTGCAGACTGATGAAAATGGAATGTACCACCCATGCGGTTACCTATCCCAATCTCTCAACCCTGCAGAACGGAACTATGAAATCTTTGACAGAGAACTGCTGGCGGTCATTCGGGCACTCTCGGAATGGCGCCACTATTTAGAAGGAAGCCCCCACACCGTGATAGTATTCACGGATCATATGAACCTCCTATACTTCCGCTCCGCCCAAAAGCTGACACGAAGACAGGCACGTTGGCAGCTCATCCTTTTCAATTATCAGTTGGAATTGCATCACGTCGCAGGGACCAAACTAGCCGCCCCTGATGCCCTATCTCGACGCCCGGACCATTCACTCGGAAAAGATGATAATGAAAATCGCGTTCTCCTCCCTGATACCATGTTCGTGCGACTAATTGACAATGATTTGTCAGAAAGTATTGCGCGCAACTCCGCTGAAGACCCCGTGTACCAGAAAGCCCTAGAAGCATTGGACGGAGTATGCCTTCCCCCGATGAAATCTGCCCTCTCCGATTGGACGTGCATCAATGGCGTCCTCTTTTATAAACATCGAGCTTACGTACCAGCAGCCCAACGGCATGATGTGTTATTCAAACACCATGATCATCCCACGGCGGGGCATCCCGGCCGATTTAAGACGGAGGAACTCGTCAAACGAGATTTCTGGTGGCCAGCCATGGGAACTTACATCCGTAAATACGTCGACGGATGCGCGTTGTGTCAGCAGATGAAGACTGACACACACCCTGTTACCCCGCCATTGCGCCCGATCCCCTCCACCGCCACTCGCCCTTTCTCCCAAGTTTCTGTCGACCTTATCACCGACCTACCCGTATCGGGCGGTTTTGACTCTATCATGATCGTGGTAGACCATGGGCTTATGAAGGGGGTAATTATTTCACCATGCAACAAAAACATCACCTCCGAAGGAGTGGCCAAACTATTTCTCAAAAACGTGTTCAAAAGATTCGGCCTCCACGAGAAAGTGATCTCAGATAGAGGACCGCAGTTCATTTCGAAATTCTCTCGAGAACTTGCCCGGCTCCTCGGATATCAGATTGCCGCATCAACCGCCTACCACCCCCAGACAGACGGACAAACAGAACGACTCAACCAGGAACTAGAAACCTACTTACGGATTTACTGTAGAAGCAATCCGTTAGAATGGTCCAATCACCTTCCTATCGCCGAGTTCGTCCATAATCATCGAAAGCACGATGCCAGGAACACATCCCCGTTCTTCCTCATGATGGGTTACGAACCGCGAGGAATCCCACACATCTTATCAGTATCAGACACGCCGGCAGCAGAAGAAAGACTTAGGAACCTCCAGAAGATACGAGAAGAAGCTCTTGCCTGCCATAATATCGCTATGCAACGAATGGCAGAAAGATCTCGTCATGAAAAGTACCGACCATGGAAGACGGGAGATAAGGTATGGCTCTCGGCCACCAATCTCCTAACATCATTACCATCTAGGAAACTTGCGCCCAAGAGATACGGGCCATTCCTTATCACCGCGGTCTTATCTCCTATCACGTTCACCCTGAAACTTCCAGAACAATGGAAGGTCCACCCCACGTTCCACGCTTCTGAACTATCCTCCTATCGCGAAACAGAGATACACGGGCCGAACTACGCCGAACCACCACCTGACGTTATCAATGGCGAAGAAGAATACGAAGTAGAAGCTATTCTTAGCCATAAGGGCACGGGTAAACGAAGACGCTATCTGGTATCATGGATAGGCTACTCCTCCGGAAGCAACGAATGGATACCCGAGGAAAATTTGCGGAGTTCGAAAGAACTCTTAAACACGTATAAGAAGAGACACAAGTTGAACTGAACGAATCATTCTCCCACAAACAAATCCCAAGTAACATGACTCCACCTTTGACACCCTCCCCTACCGGATCATCATCATCCTCGCACTCACTCGGAAATTCTTCGTACAAAAAGAACATTCTTAATCTAGACGACGACGCCATCGTCGAGACCACTCTGTTGTCCCTTCCCCACGCAATTGAGCTTGAGAAACAGCTCGCTGAAGCACCCGCGTCCACTGCCGCCCCTGTCATATCCCAGATTCACATCATACGCGCCACCGCCGCCCTTGAGCTCAGACTCAAAGAAATTGAAAACGATGCCCTCAGACTCGCATGCCAGCACCTCCAAAGACAAATACGCAGCCTTGAGATTCAGCTGCTTCCTTCTGCTTTTAGCACTATCTGCAAGTCAGTTATACGGACTGTTGAAGAACGAAACCAGACCGAAGTCGGTCGCCCGCCAAGCCCTTTTACTAGCGCTCCCCCCAGCGACGTACCTGCTGCAGTTACGGCTGGAGAAGAAACTCAGCCTGCTGCTCAACCGACACCAGTCGAAGAACCACTCCCCATTCCCGAACCCACCGTCGTCTTCAAACGAAAGACCCGTAGAGGGGCTACCGTGCACGGAGTGTCAAAGACTAGAGCTTCTAAGGGAAAGAAGCGTGAAGTCATTGACCTCACCGAAACCCCCGACGTCATCACTGTAAAACAACCCCAGTTTTCCGCAGACAATTTCGTCTGCCGCGTCTGCAAGAAACTTGGGCACCGTCACAAGAATTGCCCCGAATATTACTGCCGCATCTGCCAGGCCCAGAAGCCCGGCCATCTTTCCATTTATTGCCCTTACGCTGCGAAGAAAGAACTGTTCCCATTGGTTTATACCGATGAAGGCTTCTATGAAGCACTAGCGGCATGGGAGGCCAGGAAAGATGAAGAACTTCAGGAAGAAATAGAAAGGGCGAACCGGGATTACGCCACCAGGTATAATGAACCAGAGTTCTACAACGCTGACGCGGATCCCATCCACTACGACTACATGAACGAATACTGCGACACCGAAGAATAATTGAAGTCGGAGACTTCAACCGTAACAGGGGGGTAATGTTACAATAACATTTAGAGAGGCCCCTATACTCATTTTCCTTTTTGCTTCTTAAACGGGCCATCCGTACCACGCTTATCTCTTATCATGCCTATCTCTTATCTTGACTCTTATCTCGCCAAGCGGGCTGTCCGCCTCTTTTTTGCTTCTATCTTGATAACACATTTACAAGCTCCGCTTGAACACTGGTATATAAACCTACCTACCTACAGTTGTATTCTCTACTTTAATCTACTGGGTTTTACCTGGAACATTGTCCTTCAGCAAGGTCTCCAACCTTGCTGCCTAAGAACCACTATTCTAAGGGAGTCAGCGACACTCGCCTTAGCCAGAATACTTGATCTCTCAATCGAGAGAAGACTCACGTCTATCTGGCATCTTGCCGATTGTCTATTCAGACAGAGATAGCTCGACTCATCCCAGTCGTAACACCATAGGATAATCCGGCCACCAGAATCCACCAGAACCGAGGGCTTGTCAAGCAACTGTTGAGAACTATGAGGGAACTTTTTAGACAGAGCCTCTTCATGTTTTGTGATCCGGCTGGTAGAGCGTTTGTTGAGGGCCTCGTTGTAACGAATCATATCAAGATTAAGGTGAACTGTGGTCCGTCAGGAAACCACTGATTATATTCAGGAATGACTTACTTGGGTGTAAATATGCATCGGCAAGAACTCGGGCCAACTGCTGACATGCAAGCATGGTTGGCACATCCAATGTGAGCGGAGGCAAGACCACCTGTTGCTGGCGACCGACGTGGAAAGCAAACAGCTGGTGCACAAAGTCACCAGCGATGGTTGTGGTATGTAACACCCAGTCAGTCTGAATTGGAGTCATTTGCGGGGGCAGAACAACTGGCATAATTGATGGTTAGCTTATATGGGACAGGACCGAGATTCATTGAGTAATACTATATACATTTGGAGCATGAATGTAAATTCGGCGATACTACCGATGTCTATTTCGTAAGTATGCACACATTGCCGGTAATGACGGTCAGATCGGCGATAGAACAGCACAATTGATGTGAAGTCAATCCTTGCCAGACAATTGCCTACCAGAATTTAAGAGCTCTTCCTCCAGCTCGGCAATTGGTCCCTCAAGTTGAGACATGGTGGACGCGGCTGCAGCGGCAATCCCGGCTTTCTGCTCCAGCAAGGAAGCCATTGATTCGCCGAGATGTTGGAGGTGGGCTCTTGCGGCCACAATTTGATTGAAGAGGGCTTCACCGTCCACTTGACCGGTTACCGCAGGACCCGGTTCAAGGATAGCTCCCAGCGGCTAAGGATTGACATGAGAGTAAGTCCATCATCATGAAGCAGAAAGAAAGTGAGAGAGATAAAATGACCGACCAGTTGTTCAAAGTGGTCATGGGTCATCTCCATGACCTCTTGCAGGTTCAAGACCGGCAGCTCAAAACTCAAGCGGTCAAAGCGATCCTTCCACCAATCATAGGGATAGTTAGGAACAACTCGGTGGTGGGACGTCAATCCAGGGCGATGCGGAGAGCAGTGAAGAAAGAATTCATCATGCAATTCCTCGGCTGTGATGGTTCCAGTTTGGAATCGGGTAAATCTGCCGATGATGCTGCAGAGAAGGTCGGGCATGGTTGGGTGGATGTTGAGGACCACTGATATGTTAATATATGGGAATACAAAACGCTGATTTAGGCATCAGCTACAAGATCACAATGGCCGACCGACCGACTGATGATGTACTTACATCTGCCTCCCACTGAAGATGCCGAATGAAGGTGGCTTTGTAAGCCGGCGTTCGAGGGATGTGGTTTCGGTCGCAAGCCAGCCAGATCGCGGCGAATTGAGACGTAGCAAACTCTAGAACATTGGCAGCATCCCACGGAGTAAAGTCACTCAGTTCATACGTATGCAATGTTAGGGAGTTGGACATGATGGTGGTAGTTAACATCAACACGGAAAAAACTTTTATGGGGATCAGCATTGTACTGATGACTAATCTAGCAGCTGCATGTGAACCCCGGTCACTCCGCAACCTCAGCCACCCCTTTTGTTCTCTCAAAGCTGTCTTCTGCATGCTGGGATAGTCAGAGATACATTTTAGCCTGGCGGGCTGCATAGCAGCGGTGCCCAATGATGTCCTTTGCATCGGCCTCCTGCATTCGGCGGACCCATTGTTGAGATTTATGCATAAAGAATGCAACCGTCCATGTCATTTCTCGACCGACCAGCAGTAGCTCCTCTTCCCAACGATTTCGCAGTGCCAATGTCCTGAGCCAATGGACACGGTAAACTATTTGGCAAGTAAATTACGACTATATAGGAAGAGGTAGGTCGGCAAAGTACATACATTCATTCATCCAGTCATTGCTGGTAGAATCCCCCTCGACATCAATGGACCAAAACCAGGCTAATGTGCTATTTCTTTGACCGCGGGCATTTGGGTCTGCCACCACGGTAGTGGCCTTGAGGTCGGCCTTCTCCAATAGCCGATACTTCATCAATAAGTCATCGGCACCGAGATTAATGAGCTGCTTCCGGCATTTTGCGTAGATCTGTGTGTTGAGGTTAAGAACTCTGTCAACTGAGTGCACACGAGCCCATGCTCTGGTCGACCGTGCTTGTGACTTTGCCGACCGAACCGTGGTGCGAAAGAGAACGGCCTTGTCAGCCAAGTTGACCCTCACAGCATGCAATGCATCGTTTGCTTGGCCCTCTCTTAAGGATATTTCTTGTAGCACAAGGTCGGAGACGCCCCACTCGGCGCACCTTTCGATGCCGATGTTTGACGGTAATGGAATCACCACGGTCTCGGGATTGAACTCCACCGATATATCACGTTGGTCTTCATCATCTGACCGATCGGGAGCCTCCGATGATGATCCGACGGAATCCAATTCTGTTGCGTCCAACATAACTGTCATACCGTCCAAATGGTCGCAGCTGTTGAATTCATTGCCAAGAAATGTCGGTGCGACCCTCACAAATTCATCTAGTTGACCTTGCAATCTGTCACGACGCCGGGCAATAGCCAGCTTCTGATTGTCGGTCGGCCGTTTCCCCAACTTGTTGACATCGATCAGGAGGGCTACTTGCACTTCCTCCAGTGTCATTCCACAGGCCAGCCAAGTTGCAGCACCCCGGTGAATCTCACCAGTGGGCCATTGTGCCTGACGGTTCAGTAGGTGCAACTCTTGCTGTTTTCTTGTTGGTGCTGTGCCACAAGGACATCAGCATATTCAATATACAAGAGTCCCATTGCAACGGACCTTTGGTCAACTGAACTTCGTATATATCCATGGAGCTGGGATTATGAAGTCGGTCATCTTCAGCAGCAGTGGCCTCTGCTTCCCATTTGACAAGGGTGTCATCCTCGGCGGTCTCGCTCAACCGGTCAAATGCATGTCGGCTGTCTTGGACTCCCTGCATGGCCTCCTTAAATTTTCGGCAAAGGAATTTGCCTAAATGCATTTGAATTTGCTAGCTGGATAACATGATATTGCTCACTGATGCGTATCATCTTCATAAAATTGCAATCATTCATCTGAAAGTCCAAACACTCCTTTCGGTGAGGGGTGGACATCCCTCTTGCTGACGGTGATATGATGTTCAAGGGCGCCCACAGGGTCTCCATGATTTTGCCGTCGATTCTGGCGGCACCTGTTATGAAATTGGATGCATACCACACATAGCATTTGTCTTGATGGCCGTGGACATGCCAGAGCCCGATGCCAGGAATAATCTCCATGCCCCATGGAAGGTCAAGATAGGGCGAGTCCTCAATCCGCTTGCTCAGATGCTTGTTGTATTGACAATTAATGTCATAGAAAGTCAATGCCCGATCAATACCATCGGTGTTGTACCCCAGAGCTTGACACAGCGCGTAATCCATATTCATTTGCCTTTGACCGGCCGACTCATCAGTTAAACCTGGCCGATTTAGCAGTTGGAACGGCGAACCTTTCCCCCTTCTGAAAGTCCACCATTGAATGAGGGACAAAACACCCGTGTCTCGCGCAAGCACACCCTCCTATCTCTGTGGCTTCCAGCCGGTGGCGGGAAGCATTTGCTTGGTTGACCGCTCGGTGGTTATTACAGTCTGACCTTTGTACAATGTCCTGCGCCTGGGATAGATGCATTTTGTATCGGGCGTTGCTGACCATGAAGCCCAAGCCGTCAGTCAATGCCACTTCATCGGTCGGATTGGTGGGATGTAAATGCTCGGCCTTGAAATTGCCATCCATGACCAAAGATCTGGAATATAGCCATGCAGGGTCGGATCCATTTCTGTCTGACATACTGAGGTTTACACCGGGCTGAGGACATGCAGGACAGAAGAGTGCAAGCTCCCCTGCCTTCGGCTTTCACTTCTCATGGCCAAACCCATGCCACTTGAGCTGCTTCACTTGTCTCCACTGCCTGCCGACCCTCATCAATTCTCTGTACCGGTCCTTTCGGCTATTGTGAGCAATGCAATGCAGGAAATCCACATCACTCACTGAAACCAGATGAGGGAACACGCTTGATGTGATTCTTCTTAATTTACTGTAGTAGTTCATTGCCGATGTCCCGCATTCCAGGTTGTCCAGCAGGAAGTCGTCCAACACCGCAAATGTAAATGCTGTCTTCGGCGAAGTAAAAGATGCAGGGAAGAGGCCGGTTTCAAATAGTTGCATGTCCGGGCTCAGTGCACCGGCGCACTGACAGAATCTGATCATCATGGAGTGGAGCCCAGACGTATCCACCACCATAGTCATCCGAGGATCATTAACCAATGGTATCCATGGGCTGTCTGTGAATTGGTCTCCTTCATCATCTGTGTCGCACCACTCATCGGTCAGTCCGGGGCAAGGCTCGCCTGCATGGCCAAGGTGGACTTCAAACCCAATCTTGGTCAAGGAAGTGTCTTCGAAGAATCCCCCAGTCCATTGACTGATCCGATGGAAAGGCATGCGGCTGTGAAACGTCCGACAGCAATGGGTACAGAAGAGCGGTTCACCCATGCAGCCATGACATCTGTAGACTCCATCCTTTGGACAGACAGAGCACATCCTGTTGGAAGGTGGACCCTCTCGCCAAAGGAGCAAGTCTAAGTAGTCCTCGGTCTTGTACTGCCACTCGCGCAGATAGTCATTTTGACTCTTGATATTTGGTGTCAGCACATGAGACAAGGCAAGTGAATGGTGAGCTTGCCATGGACTTGCGAAGACGAAAAGGCTTCAAGTTACATTCACCTAGGTCGTAGTGTTCATGGTCGCCCTCCTCATGAAGTCCTCTGGTAGATCGGTCCTTTGTAGGCGATTTTCTGGGGGATGAATGAACCGATGTTGTTTTGTTGTAACGTCGAGCTTTGACAAATCATCCCATATCTCCTCTAGATGTTCGTTTGTTCTCCCATTGAACCAAAGAGGATGTCTTTGGAGGACTCCAGGCCTTTGGCTTTGACTTGACCATGGACGGAAGTAGTGCTGCATTTGTCAGGATGTGTTGTTTGGAATGAGATGCTTAGACTTTGGGACGGTTTAGTGCTTACATTCAACTGCCAAATGCAATGCCTAGTATGTAATAGTCACTTTGATCTCTCGGTAATCATTGGCATGGATATTCACGGCGCAATTCCAATGACTGATAGTGATTTGTGTATATGATGTGTCAAGAGCACTTCAGATCCTCCAATTTCATGCCACCCACCCACCTATGCATCTACACCACTCAATAAGTCTTATAGTGATAGGGCTCACACTATTTGGCACAATCTAGCCCTTACGTTCACTTATGACATGGGTGTGTCACTTATGTGAATCATAACTCACATGAGCTTCCTTCCATTTTTCGTTCCATCAACCACATCAACGCTCTCCTACACGTACATTTCCAGGTTCTTTACTCCAAGCTACCTACTGTGATATGCCTCGGACAAAGATAATCACCGGTGATCAGCCTCGGTTGAACGACCAAGAGACAACCACACTGCAGTCCCATGTTGAGGACTGGGAGAAGGCAAGTGGAACTGAGCAACGACAGATTTTCAAAGTGGCCGCCAGAGAGGCAAAACTTTTCGCTCCAAAGATGGACAAAGAGCTCTTGAAGCAACGAAAAGAGGTAAGCTTTTCGGCTTTGATCTCGGGTCATGCTGCATTACAGTCATCATGCACAGAGATACAGGCAGTGGTTCTACAATCACAAGAAACCCAAGGTTAATGCCAAAGTGCCAATGAAGCTGCAAAAGAAATGGACAGCCCGCCGAGTCATCGAAGAGGAGCGGAAGGCCGACATTCTTCAGCAAATACATGAAGAAATCGAGGAGGAGACTGGGCAGAAGCCTGAGCAGAAAGAAGTCCTCAGAAGATATCAACCTACCATGACGGCAATCATGAAAGGGCTCAACGATGATGAGTTGGAGGAAGCCCGGGCAAAGGCCGACCAGTGGACAAATCAAGCGCCTGACCCTGTAGTCCAGGCCAAGACAGCTAAGAAGAAGGGCAAAAAAATGATCAAGCACTTCGCCAAAGAGATGTTTACTCAGGCCGGTATGAGACTCTTTGTATTGGGATCCTGGAAAGACAAGAAGGGCGCCCTGCTTACATCTGGGCAAGTTGATATGCTCGGTCGGTCGGTCATTGTGCTTACATGGTTTGGCAGGTTTGACTTCAATGAACACCTCGGAAGAGGATCCAGCTTCATGAAATGCAAGGACTGGCAGGTCATCTTACCGGCATGGGAAGATTTTATCGGTGATGAATTCGGTAAGTCTCAAGACCATCTGAGAGGCGCTTCATATAATTCATGTTGCCTCCACCAAGACCAGGATCAAGACCAGGACGGCACACTGTTGGGAGGCACTCGCCGAGTCCCCAAGCCTCATTACGAGTTCGACCTGGACCGTATGGATTTGCCGATATTGCCTGATATTAAGGGTGTCTCGCTTGAAGTCAAGAAGGCAATGATTCGGTCATTCCTCACCATTCATTACAGTAAGCCGTATGATAGAAGACCTGTGCCATTATCTGACACCCGCCGCCATAGGAATATGTTGCGGAAAACGGAAGGTCCCAGTGCCATGGAGTGACATAATGAAGGGGCAGTCACGGTTCATCTCCAGCACATACCTGCCAAATGATATCAAGATCACAGACCCATCCAAAATGCAACGGAATGAAGCCAATGCCTTGTTGGAATGTTGGTTGGACCGACAAGACCACCAGGTTGGACTAACGTTAAAGTTCAAAGCGTGGATTGACGACAAGGGCAAGATGCATTCACCGGTCGGCGAAGGGTCTGATGGGTCTGATGGTGATGCTCATGATGAGGGCTTATGGCCCAGGCCAACTGCAAAGTCATCGGCCACCGCTGCACTCTCATCGGCCAGACTTCCAAAAAGGCCGCCGAGGTTCATCAAACAGGCTCATATCGGTTC